ATATATATATATATATATATTTATACATAGAATCATAATTTTTATCCAGTACAGTTCGCTACATACTGCGATAATATTTTGGATCAAATCTATGTATGTCCAGGTTTCTTTTAGCGTTCAACATACTTCTATAGCATATCTGCAAAATTGGAGTCATAAAAGCACCAAGAAGGCGAAATAATAGCATCTTAATTTTTTAAAGGGGAATTCTCAATTATGCATAAAGAAAAATAATGAAAGGTTAGTTTTATTGTAAAATACAGACAAAGGGACAAAGTTAGTACATGAATAATTTAAAACCCATCACTTAAAATGCAAAATCCACCTTAATAAAGTGCTATGTTTGCTGTCTGCTGCTGCCCAACATGTACAAAAAATTAAATACATTAAAATTGTGGTGTTAATATAGGACAATTACTTAATTAATAGCATGTTATTATTGCAAAGTGTCCTTAATTCTGATAAAAAAAACTGTGACTTTATTTGGAGTTAAATCAAAGATATATAAATTTTTACTTCTTTTTATAACTACACCAAGAAGTTTGATTACTAAATATAAGGAAACTTTGTTTGATGTAGTTACCCGCCAATTGTTTTTCTGTGCCCGCGAAACGAATGTGAGTTTCTTTAAGTCCTCGTTTTCTGTATCGGCTTCGTTTTTCACTTTCGGTTTGGTCGTTTTTGTACAATGATTGTCGTTCGTGAGTTTTTGATAAAGATTTATTCAAGCTCGTATTTCATTTGCCATAGTTTTCCGCATATTTTATTTGACGACATTTCCTCATAATTTTTACATACTTAAAGCCGTCTTACAAGAACTAAGTTCATATCTTTCACAGGGCTTGTTAAAAATGTACTCCCGTCATTTGTTACTGTTTGATACTTGCCATATCAGCTTGTCATAACGCCTAGATTTGATCTAACCTTTAGCGATAACAGACGGTCTCAATCTTCGTCACATATTTGAACCATTCTCTGCTGTTTGATCGGCTTTCACTTATTTGGGGCTATCTGTAATTTAAATAATGCATCTTACTTGATCACTCGCAAAGATCTTGGAAAGATACAATTATCCTTAGATCTTTGGGTTTTGTTGTTGTATTGACTTCTGCGTTTATGTTGGTTCCAACTGTTATGTTTGCGTTTCTTCAGTGCCAGTAAAAAACTGGTGTCGTTTTACTTGTTTTTAGAAGCTTCGTTTCTAGCATAGCATGCGTTATTTTTGAACCGTATCCGGCCTAGAGGATGTCCTGTTGTGGTAGTATCGTTTATGTTTGGCTGAAACGGCTACTTGCTTACCGTAAATTTTTATGGTCTAAAGCTTTGACTAAATGTCCATTATAAACAGAAGTTCAGGCCCTATTTGCCTTAACTCGCAGTAAACGTACCTCAGAAATTTTAGGTGTCTCAGTGCAGCGCAGATATAACAATGTATATTGAGGGAATAATCATAAAATTAGTTTCATGTAATAGAAGTGATCGGCCACTACAAACTGCTGCGTTAAAGTCCCGAAAATATTTTCAACGAATTCTATGTTTAGGTCCGCCATTAGGACCTGACCAAACACAGCTAGTGACGCTTGCAAGTCCGACTTCTTGCTGGATGAATGCGTAGTCAATTACTGACTACGCAATTCTAATTATAATGTTCTTTTAGAATGCGCACGTATTTGAACCGTATTCTTAGTCGCTCGTCATTGTGAAAATTTGCGCTACCTAGGTTTTCATTTAAAATGCCAGAGAGATGGCTTGCCACGCCTATTGGCTTTCCATACTACTCCATCTACTTGTGTCACACTTAATTTTTTGTCAAATTCATCAGTGGTATATTTTTCTTAACAAGGGTTCTGGTTATTCACCTCTGCTGACTAACTTGCTTCTGTTGTCTGATGCATTCAAAATTATTTTGCATTAAGCAACACCAGAAGCTACCGTGACTAATCTTAGGTTTAACTGGCTCAGCAAGCATAATTGATGTAAATAAGGTCAATCTGTTAGGATTATCCTTGTGAACTAACATTATTCGAGTTGAAACTGTCCGTCGCCGCTGAAAGCTACTCTATCAGCTAAATGTGTAGTCGAAAGTGCGAAGGTCAGTCTACGAAATGTTGTGAGCGCAATTTTTAATATGTTTCTTTCCGGATACGATTTTCGTAAAAAACCACTGTGCTCTCAAAACGTCAATATTCTCAATAGCGCCAACTCGTGGAGGATGGATATACGAGTTCGTTTGCGACCATGGCTGGAAAGTCGGTTAAACGAGGGTTGGATCGAAGGTCTGTGTTGGGTCGACCAGGAAAAAGGCATTTTTCGCATCCCCTGGAAACACCACAGCAAACACACCTGGACGGAGCAGGACGCGGCAATTTTCAAGGACTGGGCCGTGGTCACTGGCCGCTACCGCGAGGGAATCGATGACCCCGATTGGCCCATGTGGAAGACACGTCTTCGTTGCGCGCTCAACAAGGCACCCGACATACAAGAGGTGAAACAGCGGCACAATCTCCACTGTGATGAACCCTTCAAGGTAAGCATTCAAAAGCATATCTATTGGGGCAGGCAGTTCCCGGTTCCTATTTAGTTACTCTGACTTGCGCTGTACCTGCTTAAAATCTCGTTGCATTACCTGAGGATTGATTGCCATTTGGCAAAATAACATCTTTTTCCTTAAACAGAAAATCTGTAGCGTCACTAAGAACGTACACCAATCGACAGCCGTCTTGCAGTCTGGGTTTAGGCAATGACCCAACAATTTTAATCCGCTCTTAAATGCGCAGAGTGCACAATGTTTGTTGCAAAAGTTATTAACGGCAGTGCTTTGTGTGCTTAAGGTTTATCGGTTTATAAGCAAGACGGAATCCCTGTGGCGCGCCAATGCCACACGAAACGCAAGCATGATCTTCGACGGCTTCCCACCGCTAAGTCAACTCCCAAGTGCTTTTGGTATGCACAACCTTTCCACGCGTCGAGGCTCCACCTCCTCCGCTGCGTCTTTCACTCAAAGGCGTCCCGCCATTTTGATTAGTCGGCTCTCTCCAATTGCCAGGGGTGAGGCTTTTCCGCAATACAACCACCACAACCGCCCGCTCACTGTGATTCGGCGTCGGGATCAGCTTTTTGTAAAGAAACTCAGTCTTCGTTCTCTTGTCCCCCCATCTTCTTCGTACGCCTCGTCACCTTCGATGCCACAACAGTTGCACTCACTGAATGCCAGTCCACTGGACTCCCTTGATGTTGGCGCTATTCAGGAGGTGTTTTCATCTCCTTCTCCTCAGGTCTCCTCCGGCTACCCCCTCTTAACACCCTTGCATTCTCCCAACATCCCGGTGCTGCACCCTCCCTCCTTTCTACCCCTACTTCCCGACATTATGGAGCCAGAATTCCACCAACTAGGCATTCGCATCCAGCACTTGAACATTCGTGTCAAGGACACCATCGTCACGAATCTGAACGGCTGTTGCATCTATTTCGGACGGTATGAGGAGCCGCTGGTACCTAACGCTGCGGTCTCTCCCATCACCGTAACAAGTGCTCCCGATCCGATCGAGATGGCGATCACACATAACGTGTCCGATGAAAATCGCGCCTACGTGGAGATGCTTCTCAGCAACATGGTTCGTGGCATCACGGTGACGGCGAGTTCCCATGACGGGAGTATTTACGTTGAGCGGTTGTGTCGTTGTGCTGTGTTTGTTTACTACCTGGACGAGACCTCGGGGGATTATGTGTTTGTGAAAAAAGTCGTTCGCAGGGAGTGCGCCAAGGTGTTTGACTACCCGCGATTCGCCGCGGAGCTTGAGTACTTCCGACTGGGCCAGGGTCCAAAGCCCCACTACGAGGTAGTGCTGGCATTCGGCCAACAGCTGCGGTCTGGGATTTCCACGCAAAACCTCCTTGTCTGGTGCCGAGTGGCCAGTTGCAGGGCTTGGTTCCAGGTTCAAAGGGTACGTCAAACAGTTTGTTTACACTTGTCGCCCGAATTTCGGTGCAGTCGTGATGTGTGCGTCTGACTCATGAATTCCCATGCAAAGCGGCAAAAACCCAATCACGCGCGTGTTTTATTCTTACTTTTGTCATTCAGTGTTTCCAACGGCTGGTTGCAAAATCAGTCTAGAGTTTCTTTTGATCACCCTACACACAAGCCCTTCGAAGTATGCCATCCACGTAATATTCAAACATCACGTGTAATCTCTAAAGGCCTCATTGGGGGGTTATTTCATTGTTAAACACCAACTAGATCTATGTGTTATTGAGACTACAAAATTCACCAGCAGATCGTCATCAAATTGACTCTCTTTAATGCTGAATAGTCGTACTCGCCAATCAACTTCGGCCCTACATTGATCTTTCAGGTTGCCTCGGGTTTGAAAGCCTCATCGGACTACGGTTTTCCGGCGTCCCCACCTCCCCTAATTGCAAATTCACACCACGGCCTTTTGGTCGGGGGCGAAGTTTCTCCCGACGAGGCAGACGACGTCGATGTTTGTCCTGTCGACACCGAGGACGCAGGCGTCTCGCTGTACTCGCCCTCGTCTGGCATTAAACTCGAACCGGAGGAGGTGGAGGAGGAAGTGGTGGTGGTGTCGACGTCCCTAAGTGGTGACGGCACCTCCCCGCAACACCTAATGGGCGCTGACCACGAGGGGCCGTCGGCGGTTGACGGAGTCATGACAGAGGTGATTGAGGAGGAGGGCGTCGTGGAGCTGCCACAAGACGAAGGCCTATTGACTAGTTTGGCTGTCGAGTGACTGTACATATTGGCGTGCATGTGCGTGCGTGTGTGTGTGTATGTGCTATCATGTTGCGCTTTCTCCAATCCTCTTATCCGAAACTGTTTTGTTTTCCTTGTTGTCATTAGTAGTGTGGATATCGTGTGAACATTTTTACTCATCAGCACTGTAGCGAGAGGTGCACCATTCCTTTGTTGGCACCGCCCCAGTATTTTGCCCCAATAAACTGGCAAGTTATGCAACTTTTGTCATCAGGATTGAGTTTTTTTGCAAAATCACGAAGAAATTCTACATTAGCTCATAACTCCGATGAGCAGCGGTATCTGTTCTACTGGTAGCAGTAGCCTGTCGAGCGAAATGAGGCTGGAATAAGTCGTGAGCAGGCAGATCCGGATGGTTTTCCACCACGTTTGAGGTTGTGAAGAGGCCTAGAGGGCAGTAACGCGAGGAAACGTGAAGATGTTAAGGTTGGGTCGGTGCGAATGGGTAGTTCTAAAATCGTCTCATCACTAACGCAGTTTTGCCTGGATGCGGAAGTTTTCTCGGAATTGGCGATGCCGAAGCCAACATTGCGTTTCTTACCGCTTCATTTATTAAAAGAAAGTAGTTTGCGCGAGTGTCGTGTGTGAAGGCGTTCCGGATGAGTGAGGCAAATGCTTTATCCGCATTGTGCGTGGGAATGATAATGTCTCACAACACACCGTTTCGTTGCTAAGCTACTTAAAGCAGGTGGACTGCTCACGCGTATCCAGCAACACAACTGTTGATGCGAGTAAAGCATTCTGAAGAAACTCAATCTGTCAGTAAGGCAGCGGTTATTTACCAATCCTGATTGACTTGCATGCAAAATGGCACGCTGTGCCGAGATATAGGTATTTGTGACTGCATATGCGGTGTGTTTAGTCGAATGATTGTCAGTTTTCGGGACTGAAAATTGCTACTAGAAGTGAAATTGAACCTTTTAAAACAGAGTGCTGCTTACGTGAACCAGTGCGCCGCAGTGATCAACTGTTTGCGTCAGTCATGGCCATTCGCTGAGCGCGTAAAACGTGATGCCAGCGTCAAATGCAAGACGAAAACGTGACCAAGCTAACTAACGTGATCTCCAATCCGAATCCATGCCTGCGGGTTTTGTCGGCAGTAGAAAATTAGTTTACTGAACGACGTGTGAGTTATCGCGTCACCTAAGTAATGTAGACTTGGCACGTAACCGTAAATAACCATGTAGAGTGTGCAGACGATTTCGCATTTGCAGGTGCCACTAAATAACTTCGATCTAAATGCAACTTAAATGCTTGCGTATTTCATATAAATTCTCCCCACCAATAGACTCAGATTAATTAGGCATGTTTCAATACAGCGGCCACACAATGAAGCATTTAACTGAAAGTCTGATGTTTTTGCCACTTTTAACGCATTTCCTCTGATGTTTGCACGATAAGCGCGCACACAACCGCAGCGCACCTACACACGGTGACTCACTGCAAAATTGGTTTTTTATCGATTAATCCCTTGGTTCAACGCACACAGCCTTCTAGCCCCCGTAAGGCAATTTACTGCACGCCCTATTTTTAACCCCGAATTTGCACATCCGCGGTTGAATTTCAACCTGAAAAGGAGTGGTTCGAAGCATTATTTTAAAATTAATAAATCAAGTCTCAAGCTAGTGATCCCTTTCCTGTGCCTTGTCACCTCCGAAACTTGCATTTCCTACACACTTAAAGCTGCTGCGTTAAGACACTTTTGTGCACGACATTCTTTGACGTAGAGCGTTACTATGGTTTCCTACACTGGACATGGCCAATCTTGCAAGATGCGTGAATCCAAATAAAGTCTAGGTTGTGGCAGGTGTATGAAGAAGGTGACTAACGCGATGAATCATACCCAAGCTTACGCAGAACACCGATCACCTTGATAGTGGATGCAATGACTGATATCAAGTTTTCTAACGGTGGCAAACGCTGAGAGTCTAGCTTTTGCCCTGTAGGTAATGTGTTCTAGAAAAATCCTTGTAACCGTACCATTAATACTCATTTTGTGACACACGGTTTGCCTAACTTGGCTGAAAGACGTCGGCAAACCGTTTTTAGTGTTCATAGTAATGAGGAATTGCATTTTTTTTGCAGAGACTGACTTTAAATTGTTTACAGAAAAAGTCTGCATATTAACAACCAGTAGCGCGTAGCGCGCACTTTCATTGGTTAGCCCAAGGTCATGGGGCGTTTCGGTTATGGCAACCAATGTATGCGAAATAATTTTGGTACGTGACGGGTGAAACTGTGACAAGATATCGGCGTCTGAAATTGCCTTTAAACTACCGCCCAAATTCCGTCGCAGGAATGATTTTTAATTGCGACCGATAATTGAGCGTCTTTTCAGAATGGTACAGATATTTTTGCTGCTTATTTAACTGGCTAGCTGAGGAGATCATCTTTCTCTGGAGAAGTAAAAGGAAGAACGTTTAATTTGAAACGATTGTGTGTTTGATGCTGCATTCGCAAGTCACAAACACACCGTGTTTCCAAAAATGTCTAAAACCACGTCTCTCGGAAGTGTTTTTGGTAGAATACGGGTAGGTCGTGAAGTGAAAACGGAGGCTTCATTACGGGATCACCAAACGATGCTTGGGAATCGGAAGTGGGCAATCGGAAGGCATCGTTTTGCGGTACGCAGTGGCTGGAATGAGCGGAAATCAAGTTTCTTTGTGGTGATTGGTGGAGAACAGAGGGCAGTGGAAACGTGGGTGGCGGACTAAGCAGGCTGGATACGGTGGGCTCACCCTGGTGATCAGATGGTAGCTGATGATTTTGCATGACTTCCTTCATGAAGGCCTCGCGTCTCTGTCTTGCTCGTCTGTTTTGGAACCATATCTTTACCTTAAAAATTCAATAATGTTGCCTGAAAATATCATTCTACTTATACAATATAAGTAGTAAATATTGTTGTTGTTCGATTCTTGAGAATAAAATCAACCTTACCTCAGTCAGGGTCTGAAACAATTGATTCAAAAACCAGTTCTTTTTGACTGCTGATTGATAAATGTTTGATGCAATATTAAAATTAACTGCTTCTTAAAACAAAAGAGATCGGTCGGTTTATACCAAGCACGAAACACTACAAAAATCGTTGTCATCAGGCGAGCAGTGTTTTGATTGGCTACTGACTGCAACCAAACCTCCCATTTGGTATAATTTGAGACTTTCATGAATAACGGATGGCCTAAGTAATTAACCGATTTATTGTTACATCCAACCTTATCTTGCTCCTTAATCGCCTCGAATTTGCGCTATTGGAGAATGAAGGGGACAATGTGGAGATTCTTATCTCAAGCACGTGGCCATCTTTTATGACCTTACAAGGGGACAAGGAACTCGTTGCAAACTAAATATTCCTCTTATCTCAAACATTTTGAGGCGTGATTAATTTAAATACCAGGCTGATAGGATTTCTTTGGGTAGTCATCGGTTTCTGGAAAAAATCGTGTTCGAGTCCCGTTGTTGCCCACAAATCTCTTTGATTGGACAGTTCACCTCTGACCAATTAAACGCACGATTGATTTGCATCCTAGCGGTTATCGACAAGTGGCTAGGTCAGAGGAAACCTTGTGCAGACTTAAAGGCGGCATTTTACAACGCGATTTTGTTTTGTTTATCTGGGTTGAATGCATCGTCGACCTTGAGCTACTTTAATGGAAACCAATCTACGTTGCTGCATTTCTACTGGATGTCGAATTTACCCTGGTAGCGGTAATCACTGAAAAAATCGATTATATTTTGAAGTCGTGATTGGTCACATTCGTACCCTGGTCTCGGTGACATTGAGTTGGTTTGCCAGCATGGTGACCTCACGGCTAGACAGGTAGTTGGTCGCGCGAAACTTGGCCTCCAGGCCTTCCACCTGACCTCGGGTGAAGGGCACTCGGGGACTCCGACCAATCAGAGGGCACCTCGTGGCAGGCGGTGATTGGCGGCAGGTTTTCGAAACTAAAAAGATGCGTTATAGAGCCAAAACATGTTTTTTTGGTAAACTTACCAAACGTTTATGATGAGGCTGGTGACTATCAAGGCCACCATGGTGTTAATGGATTTGATGGTATCGATTTTTTTCTGGAAAACAGTGTTGAAAGAAAGTTGCACTTTTATTCCACTGTCACGTCAGTTTGTTTTTGTTGTGCGAGGTAAGCTCATTTTAATGGGTTAAAAATATGAGCACCAGGCATAACTGATATCGTGCCGAATTCAAGTTAACATTAACAAATGTCCACAAGCTAAACGAAATTCGAAAAATATTTAATTGCGAGTAGCGACAGTTAACCCAGTTTAACCCTAACGGCAGTGGAAAGCACAAAGCAAAAATTGGTTATTTTTAGGCTAAAAGCTACGCAGGTCCGACTGTTCTAATTGGCCAACTGCTAATTAGGGTTGTCTGCAATAACTGTTGCACTTGCTCCAAAATTTAGCACTTGGGCCAGCCACAATATTTCAATTTAATGTCCGAGTTATTGAACATGGATTATTGATATTGGAATGCGGAGGGGTTGCACTAATGCCGAGGTCGCGGAGAAGGAATCTGCGAGCTCGGATGCACTCCTCATCGATTTTAATCGGCCTACCGCAGATGTGCGCACGGCTTACTAGCGATCCAATACGAGGTGGGTCGGTGTTTAATATTGCATTTTTTTTGCACAATTGTGGAGGATGCCTGACTGGTGTTTTAAGTGACTCCATAAGGACGCAATTTGAAAGACGTTAAGTAAAGAAATCTAGTGACAAGACCGACAGGACTTAGTCTATTGTGCAGTTTTTTGTTTCTACTAAATATTATGCCATTTGAGTATTAGTGTGAAGCAAAACTATGGCAACCGCTGCAAGAGCCATTCACCTCTATTAGAAAGACTATGAGACCGGAACAAGTTTTGGGGAATCCAAAGATGCTGACCAATCAGATTTGTAATTGCCAGTTATGATTATGGGGTTCTTATTGCCAGAGGTGCTCGCGTCAAACAGGTTTACCGACCAATCACTTTGCGCAAATGTGATCTGTGGAACACCATTACCCCATAAACGCGGCCGTCAACCGCATTATCAACTAACTCACACCTGTCTGCATTAAACGTGAGCATAAAATGCAATGAACCACCGGAAACTCGATTTGCGCCCCAAGTAGAACATCGACCTTGACTCTGTTTCCCAATCAGTAATTGGTCATTTGAAAAAAATTAATCTGACAGTCTGGTCAAATAATTTGTCCTAATGCATCAAGCTGAGGAATTAGAATCAAAACTAAAGGTTTAGTCCAAAATTAAGTTGTAAGCTTAGGTAGATAGACACGAAATTTTGTTCCCTAGCACAAAAACACTTAACTTACCCACATCCATAGCATTGTCCGGAGAAACCACTTCATCCGTATTCGTGAAACCGACTGTGGCGTAAAAGCTTGCCGCATTGTTGGCGTCTAGTGGAAGCCTGCTGGGTGAACAAGGCGAGGTGGAGTTATCGTCTGCTTGTCTGGAATACCACGGCTTCCTCAGGATGGCGTCGATGGTGAAAGAATGGTGTGCCCTTTCGCTGAGGTCGGAGGGCACCTCCTGTGGGCCACTCGAATACATGCTGGAGCAGTTCGGACAGGTTTGTGCGGTGATTGCTCCTTGGGAGCGCACTCAAGCGGCCAGCCAATAGGCGCACGGCCAGACTCACAAAGTAATCTAGCCAATCAGTGAACAGTCAGTGTGCGTCACAATTCTTCAAGCATTTTGCCTAAGAAAAACTTTGTATACCAATCAGAAAAGCGACTTCTGCGAATTGCCATTATCCGAAAACGCTTCCACGAGTTTATCTGCAACAAATATGACTGCAATTTGCTCATTATAGTGATTTCCTTATTGCAGAATATAATCATGGTTGTAGGGCCTTGCTATGTTTATCCAATGTTAATTTGGCGTGAGTAAAGTAATTTATAGCAAAATACCGATCGAAGTTAGTAATGATTAAGTAGGGCAGTTGTCGGAAAATGACGTGTTTAAAATTTCGCGTGTTAATGGCTCGGCAACTTTCATCCTGAAATTCTAATAATTTGATGAAGGTCCAGCACCTAGGTGAGCTCTGTACCACGATGACGAGAATTGACGAGGGGGTGGTGTGTGAGTGACGTACCCCGGACAAGCCCTTTCACGTGTCGTGTTGGTGCAGGAGATCATGCTGAGGTTTCGTGGAATGAGTCACTGGCCCGATTCCGTATTAAGTCGCGCCTGGGGCAGTACCACTCCAGTCGCCTGATTAACTGATAACGAGACCGGATCCTGTCAATTACCACTCAATTCTGACGATGTTCGGACTATTCCAGGTGTTCCAGTTAAGGGAGAGACGTTATTCTCTTGAAGTGAACTCGGCGATCTTGTTTCTCGACAGGACTCCAAGCGGATAAGCTGATAGGGAGTAACTGAAGAGGATATTGCAATGACTTAAAAGGACTCATTGCACCAAATTTCAATGTACCACTAGGAAATCGATAGCAATTTTTAAACCCCCAAACTACGCACTCAGAGTATCTCTCCACATTCGCCAACTTCTTTAACCTCGAACATTCCCACGGTTGTATTCACACGTTTAGCTAGCGAGGACTTGATGCTGTGTGTGTGTGTGTGGTGGGACGTTATTTGGACAAAAACTGGACACCCCATCCGGGATGTTTTTTTCCTCCAGGTACCACCTTTGCTCTAGCTCCGCCCATCGAAGACATCAGTCTCCACACACACACACACGCCAGCATTCATTAAACCCTCATCCGCAAGTCCGCCCTCTTCCACACGGAAGTGGATGGCGTGCGAGACCACAGGACATCTGTTCGCCAGGCGCATCTGGGCCTGGTGAAAGGGGGAGGGGGGGGGGACAGTGATAACGATGGGATCACGAGCGGGGAGGGGGGTGGGGTGAAATCGCTGAATTATTTAACAGGGGTCTCGCTTTGCGTGTCATGGATACTAGATATCACCGAGATTGTGCCCTCAAACACTCACCGAGACAATTGATAGGTACCATCGGCTTCTGCACTCACGCACGCGCTCGCAGGTTCATCGCCCGGGTTACCTGCCCACACATATTTCACGCCCCGTTTCAAGTACTGCCGATTGAGAGTGGATGAAGGACAAAGTGGCACTGCTGGGTCATACACCCCAATTTCCCCGTGAATGCTCGGTAGCTGACGATGGGAAGAGCCACACACACGCACAGCTTAGATCGAGTTACTCTAGAGGTAGCACGTGAGAGACCGTCAAAAGCTCTTGAATGGTTGGTTTTCCGAGGGTGCCATACAAATCACAGGTACAAGGAGGTACTGCTGTCCCCCGGAAAGATGCAACACCTCAGGAAATTACCAGCGTATTTACTCCATGCGTTGATTACAGAACGCCCAATCAAACTACAATGTCACGGCGACGCGCTTTACAACCGACTCGGTTCAACACAAGGAAGTAGTCGACAGAGAGCACTTTGCAGTTTTGTGAAGTCATGAGGAAATTTATTCACAGGTATTAGCAGGAAGTACGGGGGAAAGAACGCTAAAAATATTTCGTCCGAGTTAGGGCTGCAGATGCAATTTTTTCATCATTGCTCTCCGTCATTTGGCTCCAGTCCGTCTGGCCGACCACAAAGCCGAGCTCACGTCGACGCGAATTCTCCCGCAAAGCCTCGATGTCCGCCCATGTGACCTACAAACCAATAACGACTACTTAATTGCCATAAGTAAGTGTAATTAATTGTGGGCAGAAGCAATCACTGTTGACTCAATGAATGCTAAAGACTTTTAAAGTCTGGACGAGCCTTACCCTCTTAACGCCTTCTTTTCGTTTCCGAAACTGAGTGGCATCGTCCTTCAAGTATTCAGCCATCGAGAGCATATCCGAGGAACCCGAATGTCGTAGTTTTCGATTAAGACCATCCAACCGTTCTACAATGCGATGAAACACAGGGACAACGCTTAAGATCAAGAGGCATTGGCGAGGTGTTACCCTCAAGGATCTCACCAAGTCGCTGAACAGCTTCGTCCTTATCCCATTTGCTCTTAAACAATCCCCACGCTCTCCCGGAACTATCGTCATCCTCATCATCATCGTCATCACCACAATTGGCCTCGGGATGAGGGGGCAGTGGTGGAGGAGGGGGCGGCGGCGGCGTCTTCGGACTCGCCGCATCTTCAGCACCACTGTCCGCCTCCATGTCAACCTTGGGTTGAAAATACTAGTTACTTATCACGCATAAGTAGGTAGGCGTTCTTTTGGTTTGAAAGTCGGCATACCTCCTCGGCGGCAACCTCCTGCTGTAAGGAATTGGCATCGATTATGGTGTAGCGACATGGTGTTGGCTCCCACTTAGACTGCAACTAAGGGGAGGAGGGGGAGGGGTAGAATTGAGAGATTTACCGGCTTCAATTACTCGGCCAGAATTTCATTTATAAAAACAGGACTTTGTATTAGGAATGGAGCACAAAAACGCTGTTTACTTGATTGGTTCGCTAGTTTAAACACAAAAAGTCTTAATTGAGAGTTATTTGAAAGCGAAAAAGTCTCTAGGAAGAGCGTCAGCCACGATAGTAGAGGGATACTCGATTAAACATGAGGGTTCACGACGGTCTAGCTACTACATCACTAAACTAAATATACTCAATAGGAGCCGGGAGATGGTGTCAAAAGCCAGGAGGATAAAGAGACAAGACACACTACGGCCACTATCAAACAGGAAATAAAGTGGCTGTCATGAAGGTGGTGAAGAACCTCTAAAATAGGGAGAATAGAGTGGGTAAATTAGAAAGCCCAAATTATTGGGGGGGGGGGCAAATGACGGGGACATGGGGTGCCGCTGAGAGCAGACTTACGGCGAGGATGTCACTTTCAGAGCGCCGACCGGCACTTCGGTTGATGCAGATGCCCAGATTGGCGGTGACCTCAATTATGTAGACCTAGGAGGGACGCGACAGTGATGGAGGCGATGCGATCGGTATAAGTAACTTCAGATCCAGTCGTTTCATTGGTCAATGCGTTAATTTGCATATTTAATACGCCTGATTCTTATTGAGCTGGCTTGAAGAGATTACCAGCCAATGGCATTACCGCGCGGGATACGAACGAACCAATCAGGTGGGTGCCAATACATTAAAGGGCTGTAAGCGTTTCTAAGACCAGGAAACGTATAAAGTGAATATCGCCATGCATTAATTATAACACCCATTTAAAAGTGCCTAGGGAAAACTAAATAGGACTGATTTTTACTGAGCTGGCTTGAAGAGATTACGAGCCAACCGCATTATCGCGTGGGCTGAAGTGGGGATATGAATGAAGCAATCAGGTAGATGCTGAGAGCGGTTCCAAGACGAGGAAAAAGGGAAGTTTCGTGCATCAATTATGATACCAACCTGAAAGTGTCTGGTGCGAGCCTGTGCAGCCAACTCCTCGAGTTCTGCGGCCGTGTGGTTGACGGCGTCGACTACGAGGAAGGTGAAGAGGCCGTTGTCCATCTGGCGGCACACAAGTTTCACGAGCTGCTTACGATAGGCCTCGTCCATTTCACTCTCGTAGACAAAGTTGCCCTCCTCGTTTACGAAGAAGTCGTCCATGGAGAGGAGGCGAACAGCAGCAGTCCTGCCCTCAGCTTCCGCTGCCTGTGTCTCTTTTTCCTGCAACACAAGCAATCGAAAAAGGCACCGTGAGGTCTGCCCGGAGAATGGTCTAACTACGTCAAACTCTTCCAAAATGCACCGTGTCTAGCAAAATTGTGTGGGTCTTACGGTTATCAATGACAAAAAGGGGAAGAGTACTGGAAGCTCAAACGATTATCTATGTTGCGTGATGTAAGAAATCGAAAAGCAACGAGAGATAAGGCCGAGCTGAATTAGGTGGATTTTAAGGTCATAAGCATTGGTGTTTTTTGCTGCTATAGAATGAGTATTGCAGTACAGCCTACCTTAATTAATCTGGCCAGGGTGGACTTGCCGGAGCCAGGCAAACCACGAAGAATGATGAGAATTTTCGGGGGTCGAGATTTCCTGCCGGGATTCGCAAGAATGGCCTCAGAGGCGATTCGCTGCGAGGAGGAGTCTTGAGAGACTGCAAACATGGGTCGCTGTTTGGGCGGGGTGTTTGTGTAGGACTGGTGGTGGTGGTAATTAACATGCTCCACAGATGACTGGCGCTCGTAGCCGCCAGGAGGCTGCCAAAACGGCCGGTGAGTGTATTCCAAGTGGCTGCGTCCAGGCTGAGGTGATCTGGAGCGTTCGCGTCTCGGGGACTAGGCCAATCAGACACGGCATTTCAGAGATCAGATAGAATCAAGTCCGAACGAGTTACCGTGAGGGTACAGTATAATCTGCTGAGGTTTCAGCTACGAGAACTAAATTTATGCTGCACATGGACAAGTTGCAGTTGCGCCTTTGGTTTGCGAAAAATCGAGACTGTGAAAACAAAGTGACGTTACGGAGGTTCCAAAAGCTTAAATTGCTGACGAGACTCACGAGTAAGCAGGGAACCGCGTGAGCGACGTCAAAAATAATCCTTTACATAGGCATATTAAGTTGCATAATAGGCTATAAATCAACATTCATGGCCACAAGAATTTGCCTCAAAATCAAGGGGCTTAGAAAAAACTCCCAACATAACTAAAAACTATAACCGACTTTTCAATGAGGAATTCGAGTATATTAAGAACAGATTAAGAACAAACCTGTTGATTGTCACGCCATTTCCAGTCATCTTGGAAGCGGTCACGTCGAGGGTTTAAATAATCACTGGTGCGTCTACCATTGGCCCAAGCAGTATAGCCTTCTGGTGCTGTGTGCGAGTAGGGATCACGCCAGTCATGATCTTGGGGTTTCGATTCAGACCACTGACCAGAATAATAATCAGAGTCCTCCCATGAAGATCGAATAACTCTGTCAGATGGGAAATTCTGGCGGCAACCTGAATCGACAGGAGGTGGGGGCGGTGGTTCGTTGAGGTTCGATGGAAACCTAAGGGGTAAATAAGGACAGCAAGTGTAAAACGATCCTTACTAAGAACTTGGTGCCTGGACATAACTAATGAAAGAGATTTACATTTAGCAGTAATAGCTAAGGAAATTACCGAAGTAATGATTACTAACTCAGATTATTTGGACATTTCATCTAAAAAGTGCGTGAGCACCCGAAGACTTTGGGTGAAAATTTAATGTTGTACACCTTCTTGTTTAATGAAAACAATTCAGAAAATGACTTACTCGTGATGAGGCTGTGAATAGTAAGTACCTTGACCATTATTGAACTGGTTATGTTCATCCAAACAACGGTGCTCAACATTTCCGACGGAGAACTGTCTATAATCTCTATCGAAAGGTGGATTTGGACAAGGCCCACCAGGAGGTGGGCTAACATTAGGATACTGTACGGGCTGAGGAACAACCGTAGATTGCGTACCCGAATATGGTGGATAGCGAGGAGGGGGAAGTCTCTGAGGCGCCTCTTGTGAATAGGGGTTCCAGGTGCAACCATAATTTGTAGGACCAGTTTGCCAGCCATTATAAGTAGTGCTCGGATCTGGTGGTGGCGGTGGTGGTACAGGATAAAAGCCAGCGCCCTGATTATATCGAGGTACACCACCGTTTTGTGAACCAGAACCGTGGCCGTATTGCATTGTCCGTCCTGGAAAATTAAAAAGGGTTAGTGTGGTATGTTGAATTCAGTATTTTAATTCAAAAAAAATAATTTTTTAAGAACCTCACATGCATACCAGTGTATTATTCACTAAATTATCAAAAAGGTGCCTGACTCTTGAAACCTAGGCCGAAAATTATGATGGAAAACTGCAACAAACGTGCCGCTTTGATGAAAAGAAACTAAAACACTGATTAAAGAAATTCAGATATTTATGACTATTGGTAAGCTTCAGTAGAAAAAATCATGCATAATTTGACCGCTGAAAACAATTTTAAAGTGGCATTACGTATTTCTTAGAGATTGTAGATGCACCAATGGCCCGGTTGATGCTTCGGGTTCTGTTCATCACTATTTTGTGCCATCAAAGCCAAATTATCCAGACTAGGCAATAATTTAGGTAATTATAAAATAAAGGTTTGTTTTTTAACGCCACATAATTATATTGCAGGTCATTTTGTGGAAATACTGACGAATATAAAGAAAACATTTTCGTTGACAATTTTGATCGCTGTGATCTCGTGATTTCGAATTGCACAATGTGACTCGAAGTGCGTTTTCAATAATTTCAGTCACAAATTATTCTTTGCATAGTTTTTTTTACAGTGAGTGCTGATCTGGAAACTACAATATGAAACTGCTGATAATTTTATAACTTAATCTGATCAAAGAAAATAGGGTATGACAACATTTTAACTTATTCACAAAACGTTTTTTAATTCTCCCCTTGACCTCAAATATGTTCTTTAATTTTACTATACCATAAACTTTAGATATATTGTGTTGGGTCATAATTTCTAAAATGTCTAATTGTCGTCAATGCTTGCGGGATCAAGTCATTTGGATCTGTCTATTATGATTGTTAATTTTATCGTCATTCTTGCAAAAGCAGCTTGGTAAACATACCATTCCAGATTATTTTTAAAATTGCATTTTTATTGACTTCAGGAAGAAGTTAAGCTAGCTGCACGCACTAATCTCTCTTATTTTTTTGTTAATACGTATAGAACCGGATAAAAATAGAAAACAGAGGTAAATTAACGTGACTGGGTGGACATAAACACATTCACTCGATAACCGGGTTAAAGATCTAACGGTTACAAAAAAAGCAGCTCTGGTCATTTTAGATCGCTGACCGCCACCACGTGTGAACGTTCAAGCATTGGCCCCTGACAACAATGGCGTTGATATACTCTAAATTATAACTTGTGTAGAATACCCAAGTATGAATATGACTTGTACAACAGAACAGGCTTTATTGACCAATCAGAAGCCGGAGCCACGCGTTAGGCGCCTTCCATCCGAGTCCGCCACGCTGGCCACGCCGCTCATTATATACCGCATCTCATCCATGTCCTTCTCTGGTTGGCTGCCTTCCTTTCCCGCATGCCATTGGATCGCAGAGAGACACGGGATTGGCTGAGGCCAGCGTAGTCCAATATGTCTGCGCCCTCAGACGTCACCACACTGGCTCCCCCCAGAAGTGAAGCTGTCCCCAGCTTCTGGCTTGGTTCACTGCACTGTTCCTGATCGTTAAAATATCCAGTTCGACACTCCCCGCACCCCACATCTGGCAGGATAGTGGCTCGTGCGAATAGCTGACGAGGGACTTTGCTCTTGTAGACTTGCAGGAAGGACTCTTCATCCATCGTAGGTTTATTCGCAGT